AGAGGGGGCTCGTAACCTGGGGGGGGGAGGGGACTCAGAGCTGGGAGTGGCACAAGGGGGCAGCTGGAAGTGCCCATTGGGTGCAGGGACTTCGGCGAACTTGGGGTTGGGTGGGTCCTGGGACCACAAGTGGGTGAGCAGGATGGGGGGCTGGAGCGGGGTCAGGGATGGCAGGGGGAGGGGCCATGGGCATCACTTGGGGACAGGGCAGAGGCATACCAGGAGGAGGAAGCAGAGGCATTGCTGGAGGCAGGAAGAGGAGGAATAGGCATAGCGGGGGGCAGGAGGGTTGTAGGCAGGAGCCAGGTGTGCCATTATTTCGCACATGATGGCACACATGTTGTCGCCCTGCCACATGAGCTGGTCCCACATGCGGGTCCACCACTCTGTCCTCCCAGACCTTCTGCACCAGAGTCTGCTGCATGTCACACATCAGATCTTCCTGGACCCTGGAGTGCTTTCGGGACCCCTGGGGCCAGGAGCATGGCTGGGGTGATGTGTCTCCCCCCTCAGTCATGGCTGGTCCGGCTATGGAGAATAAAGAGGGAGAGGCGGTCACTCATCCATGCAGACACTGTCCCTGAGGCCATGTCCTCCTCTGTGAGCAGTGACCAACAACCTCAGTCCAAAGGACAGGGATGTCCTGGTAGCAAGGCCATGTGTAGCCTGCACAGTAGCGCGTGCCTCATAGGGGCCCCAAGGTGCCCAGGGGACCATACTGCTTGCTTCCCCCCTGTCTCCATGGACAAGCAGGGAAGGAAAGTGGCCACAGAGGGATCCCATGGGCGGGAGAGAAGCCTGGAGCAGCCTAGCCCTCCCTGGGGCCCGCACACCTGCACCTGGCAGCGCTATCTGTGGGAACGGGTGTTGCTTTATGCAGGCAGGCATGCCCATGTGAGGCACTCCTCAGTGTGTATGGGGTCACGCCTGCGCCCTTGCGGCTATCCTGCTTCCAGCCCTGGCGGGTGGTGGAAGGGCGTCCCTCCCCAGGGCCAGACGTGTGTGTGGCCTCCCCATAGACTCTAAGCAGGATCCCGGGCATGCTCAGGGGATGCCTCCTGAGGCTGCATGGCACACAATGACGCTGCACGTGATTCCACATGCATGGACTGCAGCACGATGTCCAGTCCGAGCAGGCCGAGCAACGATCACACCCCATCCCCTCTGCACCCATCTGCCCTGCTCTGTGTGTGTGGAAAACTGAGTGCAGTCACCTGATGATCCCTTCCCGGTGTCAGATGATGCCTGCAACATGTCCAAACTCAGGGGTACTGGCTCCAGGGACAGCATGACTGTTGTCGCTGTGTCATCCTCCTCTTTCTGCCCCTGCTGCCTCTTGTCCTCCTCCGTGACATCCGGCCAGGCGACGATGGGCTTGTCAAGGCTGGAGCTGACCACCACAGGTGGCAAAAGGGCTTCCCCAGCACCCAGGATCTGGTGCAGCTCCTCATAGTATGGGCAGGAGTGGGGTCCTGCCCTGGAGCACGAGCTGCACTCTCTGGCCCTCGTATAGCCCTAGCGGAATGCCTTCACTTCACTCCAGACCTGTTCTAAGGTCTGGGGTGGGTGTCCCTGTTTCACCAGGGCTTTGGCCATGCACCCATATATGTTTTGGTGTCTGGAGCAGAGATCCTGTAGGTCTCCTCCTCCTCCCCCCACTGCTTGACGAGGGACAGGATCTCCGCTCCAGAGCAGGAAGGTGCCTGCTGCTTGGTACCCATTGGTGTGTCCTGGGAGCCCTGGTCGTGCTGTGGAGGTTTTGGGGGGCTTGTGGCTCGGCCATAGCTCCGAGTGAGGATGGCAGGGACAGCTGCTCGGTCAGGTGCTGCTCCAGGGCTGGCTTCCTGCCACAAGGCTTGTCTGGGGTGCCTGCAGCTTTAAGAGGTACCAAGAGACAGGAACTATAGAGTTCTGATTACTTTGGAGGGAGTGTCCACCAGGGCACCTGTGTTATTTCTTGGAGGTCTCTTCTTTTGAAAGAAAACCCTCTTCCCCTTCCACACATGCCTTTTTCTGAAAGAGCTCTTTTGGAAAAGGCATTCTTCCTTGTAGAAAGAGGTTTACCGCTATCGGAAAAAAACCTCCATTCTTTTGACTTTTTGTCAAAAGAATGAGATTGCAGTGTCAACGTAACTGAAGTTTTTTCGGAAAACGGCTGTTTTTCCAAAAAAACTCTGCAGTGTAGACATACCCTCAGTGTGAAGGCACAGACTACTCAGATGACTGCCTACCAGGAGGAACCGGATAGCACAAAAGCAGAGGCTGATATGTTAAATGCCACTGCGCTAATTCAAAACGCCTTTATCATAGTCGTGCAAAAAGAAACCAGTAAGGCACAAATGGAAAAGGGTAAATTAAGACAGGAGGCAGCAGAATGGAAAGAGAAAGCATTAGATGAGTATGCTGTAGTGGAGGTCATGCTCATAAAGAAAATAAAATTAGCCATGGGGTCTGTCAGTTCCCCAGAAAATGAGTTGCAAGTAGAAGAATGAATAATAATGGCAGTAAAGAAACCAGAAAGGAGAAAGAAGGATAATAGGTCACCCAAATTTTGCAATAGAGAGGAAGAACCTGATCCTGGTGGTGAGAACTTCTCTGCCTTGTATTACCAGCCGACTTAGCTGGCATTGCCCGGGTCCCTCAGGGCCGTGGGCTGGCGGTATGGGGAGTGCAGGACTCAAGGCAGGGTTTTGGGGATGTGTGGGGAGAGAGTGCAGGAGGCTGGGAGAACAGGGGATGCAAAAGTAAGGGTTGAGGAATAAGAAGGAGCTTAGGATGGGAGGCCCCATATGTCATGGGCCTTTTCTCTCCCCCCAACCCGACCTGGCTGCCAGGAGCTTTTTCAGTCCCCTCAGCTTCCCCCACTGGCTGCCACGGGCATTTTTCCTCCACCCAGCCTCTTCCCAGCCTCCAGGGGCCTTTTTTGATAGTATGGAGATATACCTATCTCATAGAACTGGAAGGGACCTTGAGAGGTCATCAAGTCCAGTCCCCTGCCCTCGCGGCAGGACCAAGTACCATCCCAGGCCCAGCAAGCCACCAGGGGCCTTATTTAATCCCCCCTCTGGGGCTAGGAGTTCGGGGTGGAGGGCTAAGTGCTGGAGTAGAGGGGTTACTTACTCAGTGTGTTGGTAGGCAAGATGACAGAACCGGAACCCTGCTGGCCACTCCCTTGGTGGGATGGCTGCCCCCAGTGGACACTCTGCAGGATAGACAACGAGAAATCCTGTGACACCTTATACCTTTCAATATAAGTAAACAGTGATACTGTAAACTGACTACACATTGAAACTGTTTTTATTCCAACTGGCTGGGAAAATTTAAATAATTTCAAAATAAAGGTATAGGCACAATTCACTGGAGTTGTTCATGCTCTGAAGAAAATTATTTTGACCAAAAGGATATGACAAAATCACGTCTGGTGTAATTCCATTTAGGCAAATGTAATTATGATAGGGATTAATTTAGCCCAATGTTTTTCAAATTATATAAATCCAACTAAATCAACTCATAATTCATCATTGTTTAGTACTACATTTTAAAATATGTATTTTTTTCCAGTTAATATTCAATCTCATGAGTGACAAAATATTAAGATTTTATTAGAATTGATGGTAACTGCTCTGTAATATAAAAGGTAAATAATATATTGATAAATAAATGTTATGACAGCTAAGACTCCCCTAATTTTAGCCATATTGGTAAGGTTCTTACTAATATACAAGATGGCAATAAACTTCGTAACAAAAAAAGTATTAGATTAGAAGGCAAAAAGAAACAGATGGCTGACACATCAGAATATTGTCCTACTTAATCAATATATTGACAAAATAGTTTGGGTTATGTGGTGCTTGCCGAATAGTTGTGCACACAGACATCTGCCTTACAGTTGTATGGAAAGTGAACATAAATCACAGAAATAATAACCATGACAAATTGTGAGCTTCTGTTGTTCAAAAATCTACTGCTGTTAAATTAGTATTGGGAGTATCAAAAACATCAAAGAGAACCTAGCCTTATGTTCGGTATTGATAGCCAAACTCCTGGTAAAACTAGCAGACCTTCAAATCTAATGATGATCTGTTTAAAAAAACATGAGAAGTTGATTAATAAGAATATTTTTGACCTTGGAATTTATGAATCTAATAAAACCTCCATTTATTCTTCTACTATAGAAGATTGCAGTTTATATTACTTCCATTTCGTATGCAGCAAATACTGCAAGAAGAAGGCATTTTATATTTAATAACAATGACATTTTATTACCTTGCCTTTTACACTTCAGGAAATACGAAGATATTTTAGTTTTTGCAATGTTGATATATTTTTTATCCCAAAGCAGATTACTCAATGTTCACAAATAACATGTTCTGAATAGCTCATATTCCATTTAAAGAGCCCTAACCACTTTAGAAATATTAATAAATTTAGCCTCCTAACAGCTTTACACTATTGGCAGTGCTTATTATCTACATTTTATACATGAACAAATTGAGACAGAAACATTTCACTGTACCATAGAAGTCAATGGGATTTTTGCTACTGATTTAATGAGAATAGGATTGGGCCCTAAATTCAGTTCAAAATTCACATACGATGGCAGACCCCTAGTTGGTAAAATTGTCATAGTCCATTGAAGTAAATGGAGCTATGACTGTGTACATCAGCTCAGGATTTGCTACAAGACTGTGACAGAAATAGGAATATAATAGGTCAGCTCTTCTGACTCTGAGTCTTGCACATGAACTGCAAGCCTGTAATTCCAAAAGCACCAGAAACCCATCTGTTGACTTCAAAGGCATTGTGTAAGGCCCTTTTCTTCTCTCAGGGCTTTGCCAACAGGTGTTGAGTATGAGAGTGGTATATAGTTTAGTGGGGACCAAGGGTCATCAGTGTGAGCTAATTTAAAATATCACGCAGGCTCCATAGAGTATGCTTTATAAATATATTTAAGTACATTAAAATAACATTAACTGGAGGTAATGGTATTACTGAAATAGCTTACAAGTCCAATGCACTATAAAAATAGTGAGTAAATATGATATACTCATGTATATAGACCGTAAGACCAACGGTATCTGCTTAGAATCAGAAAGAAAAAAAATCAGACAAAACATTATTTTTGTTTGTAAAATGCTTTGAAATAAAATAACTGTATAGAACAAATACCAAATAGTATTATTGATAGTTTGATAATTACTCCAAAATCACCATCCCTAGATTGTAGCATATAAAAAGGGTGACAAATTGGAAATTAAGTTTTGAATTTATTATTGTATGTTTATATATTGGCCACTGTATTGCAGCAGGGAATTCAAGATAATCTATATTTCTGCCTCTATTGTTCTTGCAAAAATGTAATAAATGAGGTAGGTGAAAAAGGCAGTTGTGTGTCATTGAAGTAAACCAGCAAATTATACAGTTGACTTTAAGTCATTGTGTAATTCATTCTTACTCGCTAAAACATAACATTTGGCTTTGGTTTCGATAACTCTTAAAGTAATTGTATTTCATGACAAAATCAATAAGCTCTGTTTAGGAGGACATGTACCACCTTCCTCCCCCCAAATTCATTGAAGGCTCAAGAAAAAATGTCAGAGATATGAAATGTACAGTCTACTTAGGCTAAGTTACTGTCAATAAACATCCCTTTGAGTGCAGCAAGTTATAGATTGTAAAGCACCAGAGGTGGTTTACCTACAGCACTGGGCCCTGGTCTACATAAGGGATTTATTTTGAAGTAACACCCCTTATTTCGAAATAGCAAGCAGAATGTCCACACTACCAAGCCTATTACTTTGAAATAACTCCTGCTTTCCTTGGGAAATAAGCTTATTTTGAAATAGGTAATTTCGGGAGTTATTATTTTGAAATAAGTTATTTCAAAATAATTTCCTATTGTAGACATGCCCTAGGAGAGCACCCCCAGCGCTCCTGCCATGGCCACATAATTTTTTAATGTAGTGCAGACAAAGCTTTAGTTGTAAGATACAGCTTTTTAGCTAATTAGCAATGGATTTTTTTGTGTGTCATTAATCTTGTAATTAAAGTACAATGAATTTACTAGTAGTAGGCAGCAATCTTCCCACAAGTCTTGCAATATGTGGAGTTTTTTCTTAAAGCTGCAGTCATGTTATTTTGTGAGATTCTGAGCTTTTTTTTTTCTTTTATTTAAAGTAAGTTTCTAGTCCCTGTGGTTGCAGAGAAAAAGCTTGAAAATGTTACCTGAAAATTCAAATGCAGAAAGCAAATTTTAAAAAAATCCCAATATTTATTTTATTTCATTTTAAAGCCAGTTTCATGATTTTTTTGAGACTGCTTTTGTGACTTTTGAATATTTGGATTTGAAAATACTGGGTAGGACATACTATTAGGGCCTAATCCTGCAAACTTTCTATCAATTTTACTGCTAACTATTGTGAATAGTCCAATTGATTTTACTATTATTTATTGTAGTTGAGTGTTATAGTTTTGATCTCATTGCTGTCTCCACATGGACAGATCCCTATCTGCATGGAGTCCCATTAAGTCAATAGATTTCTGTGCAGGCACAGGAGTTTGCCCAAATAATTATAGCTGAAAGAATGATATCTATGGTTGGTAGAGTAGCATTTGCCAGACTGGTAATTTAGGCTTCAGCCTGCAATTGAATCAGTATAGATGGACCTTTCTGTTTTTCCCAGCTTGGGCATCCGACGGAAGGGCAGTTGGGACACACAGCGCAGCCTGGACGAGGGGAAGATGGAGTGGTCTGGGAATTAAAGGAGTTGTGACTATATTTCGGCTTCAGTGGGTTCCTTTTTTTGTTTGTTTTTTGCTCAACAACTTTTGTTGGGCCTTTTTTTTTTTTTTTTTGATCAACAGAATTTTTCCCGTATTTTTTGTTAAACCATCTGGCAACCCTAATTAAGTCACAGAGGTTCTAAATGTGTGCAGTGTTCACTCATACAGATTGCAGGAGCAGAGCTGTAGTTACTAGCTTTTTGTTGTTCTTGTTTGGACACAAACAGGTAGCTTGTAGTCTTCCTATATATATTTTTACTTAGTATATACAATTATGCACACAGACAAGGATTATAGTTTGAACTAAATGCTACTATTTTTTGTTAGTTAATACATCTTACTGTTTACTGATTGTATTTTCCAAAATGCTATGTATATTCTCATTGTACTTTAGCTATGTCTACAATAGCACTTTTGTTGGTATAACTTACTGTCACTCAGGTGTGAAAAACACACGCTTCTGAGCGTCATCAATTAGACGAACAGAAGTGCGAGTGTGGACAGTGCTATGTTAACAGCTGGTTTAACTATGTTGATGGGAAAGCTCTCTTTCATTGGCATAGATCAGTTTACATGAATGATCTTACAGCAGTACTGCACTGATACAGTTGTGCTACTCTAACAGTGGTGGGCAATATGCATCCCTTCAGGGTTCTACGTGCAGTCTGCAAGACAGTTTGTTTACCATTGTTTATGCACAGGGTTGCCAGATTCCAGTTTTGTACCTGTAGTACTAAAGTGACACACACATAAAGCCAGGGCATGAGAAGTGGGAGGTGTGTGCTAATTGCACACAAGATTGACTGTGAAAACTAGGAGCTCCCTCTGCATCCAATCAAAGCACTGATATGGTTCAACTAGTACACCCTGCACATTCTAAATACAGGCTGTACTTGCTATAAGTCCAAGATACGTTCCAAAAACCTTGGACTTATAGAGAAACAACTTAAAGTGAGTATTTTTTTTTTCCTGCGTCTGACTTCTATTTGCACAAATTATGTGAGTTTTTTGCATGACTTTAGAGCGGAGAATGGGAGGACTTACAACGCATCAGTTCCTACAAACATCAACGACTTTAGTGTGGAACGGATGCACAGGGGCAACCTATAGAGGGGATGCTCAGTACAAGAGAGCACTGGCAAAACTATCCCATCCTAGGAGACTGTCTTGGGTATGACAATCTTGCAGCCTGTTGAGATGAAGGAGGGCCACTCATATGGCACACTCACTAACCCCGTGGTCACCAACCAGTAGATCGTGAGCTACCGGTAGATCTCAGGGGCTCTAAGAGTATCTTGAGCCCTCTCTGAACTGCGCGCCTGCGCAATACATTTACATTAGATTTCCTCATTTGAGGAGCAGCTACTCACCGAGCAACAACACAGGTGAGTAGCTGCGAGGAAGGGTGGGAGCTGGGAGGTTG